AGTACCGAGAATCATCCCAAGCCGCTGGTGTAATTGGACCGCACACATCGGAGTGCACTCGTTCTAGAGGTCTTGTAGCACGGACTCTAGTACCCGTGAATGGTTCTCGGCACTGCTTTCCGAGAACACAAACATCACAAAAATCCAATTTATCTGGTTTCTCGGGAATACCTGTTACCATGCCATGCTTCGCGAGTGTCTGCAAACTCTTGCTTCCCAAATGAGCCAGTCGACGATGCCACAGATTACCAGTCACAGCTCCACACATGTTGGCCGCCACCGTATCGACACGGAGATCGAGCTTGTAAAAATCGCCCCGCATGGGACATCTCGCAATCAGGTCACGACCTTGCTTCATGATCGCTTCCTTTTTCGTGAATGTGACATCAAGATCCGCTTTTGCCATCTTCTTCAAGTTCGCAAGTTCGCTCGAAGATCTGGTACGAAGAGGACGTTCTTCAAGCTGATATAGTTACCTTCCTTGTTGACGCCGTTGATCGTGCCACTGTGCCGGGAAATCAGGGATTGATCATCCTTCGCCACGTTTATGACGACAGGGTGCTTCAGCTTCGTGAGGTCGGCGAAACAGTGCTTCACATTCACAAGGTGGCCCGAGGCTCTGGAATCCAGCTTAAAGGAAACTGCTCCCTCGTCCTTTGTTTGGGAGCATCTCCCGGTCATAAAAGCCACCGCCTTACCTCCAGCAGCAGCGTTAGCTTCAGCGCGCCCATCTGTCTTCAACTTCACACGACAGTCCTTGGCCTTGTGCCCCTTCTTCTGGCAACGGTTACACTTTCCGGTGAACTTACCAGGCTTCTGCTTCGATCCTTGGAATGCTGCAGGTTTCTCTTGGCAGGAATCCGCTGCCCGGTCGGTTTTCTTGAGCTCCTCGGCAAGAAGGCGCTCGCGAACAACATCCAGTTTTAGGTTTTCCTCACCTAGATTTTCCAGTGCCGTAACCAACGGATCGAACGACTCGGGAAGGGTAGCAAACAGCTGGGACACAATATCGTTCTCTTCAAGCTTCGCTCCGGCCAGCTTCAGTTGTCGGATCAGCTCTTCGAAGGTTTTCAGGTGATCTTTCACAGACGAACCTTCCATCATTCGTAGCTTCGCAAGTTGCTTCCTGACGAATGTCTGCGACGAGACGGACTTCTTGGCGTAGGCGGATTCAAGGCTCATCCACATCTCCTTGGACGTCTCCTTATCCCGCACCAAATGCAGCAAATCGTCATGAACAAATGACGTCAGCAGGAACGCCGCCTTACCGTCATCTTCCTGGAACTTCGTGAGCTCGGCCGCTTCCATCGGAGGATCCTTCTTGATGATATCCAACAGCTTCACGGACTTCAGATACTTCTCCACTCGAAATTGCCAATTGTCAAAACCGGTGCCCGAGAACTGCGGGATCCCGTGGACCAAATCCTTGCGTGAGTCGCCCATAACCTCTTGATGGTTAGAAAGAACCGGAACAGCAAAGTTTAAAAGTAGAATGGATTTTATTTAACGACTAGCTTGAGTGGAGTCTTGAACAGGAATAAATAGTTTTTCACCGTTGTTTATTTAAGAAAACTTAGGTTGCTAGGGGTGACGTTCGGTCTCCAAGGAGGTGATCAGCACACTGCGTTACCGATTTACTCCAACAAGAACATTTTCTTCCTTGTTTGGAATGGTGATGGTCTCCGGCAATACAGCAAAGCACAGAAAAGATTGCTAGTTTGTGTTTTTTTTTTTTTTATTATAGTCACTTTAACACTCTTGGGTCATTCGTGACTTGTCCGGGGGTGAGATTTGAACTCGTGACTTTGGTGTGAGAGGTATGGATGTTAACCACTACGCCGGGGTCGCCCCCAACCCTCCTCTGCTAGTATTAATATTTAGTAACTCACTATGCCACCTTGTGTTTAACACTCCAAAAACACAGTTCGACACACTCCAAACACACTTCCACCAGAATTTTCTATTAATTCTGGCACCACTTCCATGACTGCTTACATTCGATCAAGCATTCGATTGTTATGTTTATAAACAGTAGTTTTGCATCTACAACCAATTCATTCAGAGAGATATGCTAGAGTTGGTACAGAACGTGGCAGAGAAGGCAGCCATTGGTGGACCTTCTCTCGAAAGCTTGTATGGGAGGTACGTGGATCGACCACATGAGTTTAGTTTCATGGAGGGGAAGATCCTGTGCATTCTAGATCTTGCCCGATATTGTGCGAACAAATGGAATTAAGTCCTTTTTTAAAAGCATGTAAAAAAGCGCGAGTCAGGATGCGAATCCATCTTGGTCCGCCGAGGAACAAGACGACGAATTTGATGGCCACAAGTAAAAACTTCGAATGAAGGGCTTTTCTATGTCAACCAATGCATGCGTTTGAGTATTGTGCTCGGTATTGTGTGACAATCACCTGGAACAGTTAAAAAATATTCTTCCAGTTACTACCAGCTTTATTAGGCTTCCATATTATATGTATATTTGTTAGAAAAGTCAACAACGCCTTGCGCTTGGTACGAATTGTTGTGTTTAGAGGCTTTGCAATAAGCCGAGGATGTAGTTTCTTAAATCTTCGTCTTGGTTAACCCACAAAACGCTACAAATGTTATGCTTCGTTGAAATGCCTGGAGGTGGTGGTGGAACGGAAGCCGATCCCCTTCACAATGAATCTGAAACAAGCATTTAAAGTACATTTCATGAGTCACGCTTGAATGCCATGCTTAAACGACATAAAGTTTACCTTATTACGTGACGATTGATTCCACATTTGTTGAAGATTTCATCGATGCTCATCAGCGAGATTTTGTTATCCTACTTCACCAACTCGTTGATGACGCTTCGGATCTGGTGGCTCGACACTTTTCTTTTTAGCTTCATCCTTTAGGTTCACACTATACTGGATCAGCTGCATGATGCCTTTCGTCTGCATGAGCACTGAAACTCATGTATTTGATTCTCGAACTCCACATTTTTCGCTCCACCAAGAATCTTGTGTTCGACCGTTCCCTGGACACAATAATATTGATATTAGGCACCCATTTCGTCTTTCTCGTGCAGTGAGAGGGCCAATGCCCGTTTCAATTACTAATCTGCACAACTGCACAACAACAAAGGAGTCGCAAGAGGATCTGCCATTATCAGCATTGACGAGTGCACGGATGTATTTGAGTTCACTCACTCGAGAAAAAGTGACACAACAGCGGGGCCCTGTTTACTAAAAATGAACACATATGTGTTCATTTTTAGTAAACAGGGCCCCGCTGTTGTGTCACTTTTTGTCGAGTGAGTGAACTCAAATCCATCCGTGCACTCGTCAATTTTGTTATGGTTGAGAATATGGTTGCCAGTAAATATACTTTTTCGGTTGAAGTTTTGACAGCTCGGTTAACATGATGAAACCACAAACGAAGTGACAGACGACTAACTGGCGAAGAAATCCATTAAAATAATGTGGTTCACTGTAATAGAACTTTCTTGGAAGCTTGTGCCATCATTCACCAGATGGATTAATTTTTTTGTTTTGATTTGAACAAAGTTGATTTTGTGTACAATGATTCTTTGACAGTGTGCAAAGAGTGTATCATTTTGTCATTTTTTTATGCATTTCAGTTTTGAGTAGAGTGAAAGAGATAGAAACAAAACATTCATGATAATGCTAGTACAATCCAGTAGTAGTGTTGCCATGTGGTACAATCCAGTAGTAGTGGTGTTGCCATGTGGTACACTGAAAAATTGAAATAGCAGGTTAGTCACCAAAGTTTTCGAGCCGCTCCGTCTGTCACTTCGTTTGTGATGAAACATCCAGAAACACGTTCCGACACCCAAAAACACACATGAAACACAATAAGCACAGCCACAAGGTGGCAGAGTGACTTACTCCCTGCCACATACATATTTAATTTAATTTATTTAAGTTTATTAAAATTTTCAATCATCACTGAAAGGCCACTGCATAATTGAACTTTCCATTGGAAGCATTTTACACAAATGGTACAGTTGATATCGGAATAATTACTTCCTGACGGGCTCGGTATGGGGACGTGCTTGAAGAAAAGTTTCTGCTTAGTGGTGATGGTTGGTGGGAGTAGTTTTCCTTTCCGGCAAGACTTCAGCAGCCTGAAGATCAAAACACTCAATTAGTCAATTAGTCAAATCGGAAGCAAGATCGAAAGTCTTCAAAAATTTCATCAACTTACCTCCAAATCCGGCAACTGGAGTATCCTTCCACTCGATAGTGTCCCTGCGGGCGAGCCTGCGGGTGCCTCCATATTATTATTCGTATCGTAAAGAAGGGAAACTAGCGTGCCGGCGGATGAAATATATGGAAAAATAGAATACACTGCTGACTCCTGCAAGTTCTCACACGAGTTCTCACAGCTGGTTTTGTTTTATTTTTTATTTCCCATGTCAAATTTAGCGGAAAACGGAGGGCCAGTACTGTCAAAAACTACGCAATGAAGAGGTATTTTGACAGTTTTACAACTTTTATTAAAAAAAAATCTCTTTTAAAATTACAAGTCGAAAGTGAAAGAAACATTTTTAAACCAAAAATATAAGTTTTATTTTGAAAACTTTCATAGTTGAAACTACGAATTTTGGGAAACTTTTAATTTGATTATGCATTATTTTTATAGCAACAATTTTTGTTCTTTGTGTGTATGCAATCATGATAGGTGCTGCTGGATTGGCTCTGGCGTTGACAGTTCGTTTGGCTCAAAACCAGCCAGTCCACACCTCTCTTATACTAGACCCTCTCATATTATGGATGATAACCATCAGAACACGTTGTTAAGCAAAATCTCGAGCAAAATAACCATATAAATTATATTAGGGTTTTCTCCGCCCATCTCTCCCTCTGAGGATTTCTAGTACTCAGCACACCTTGCAGATTTAAGATCTTAATTCACAAAGCCGGCTTTGGCTCATTGATAGACCCCTCCGTACTGCGAGAACTGTCATCATCAATCATCATTGAATGTTTACTTCGCTTCAGTTCTCGCGTAGTTTTTCTGCAACAATTTTTTTATAAATTTTTCGGAGAATTTCTTGGATAATTTGTATTATTTGTAGTGTTTTCTACATTCCTGAAAGTGAATAACATGTGTAGAATAGTTAAGGCATAAAGTGAATTAAATAAGCAAGTGATTAATTACTATTGTGTGCAGAGTATTGACGGTGATAAAATGTCTTCGGAGATCCTGTTCGTCATCGAGGGCACCGCAATCAACGGGGCCTACATGAACGACATGAGGAGCAACTACATAATTCCGACGCTGGAGTACTTTTCCCAGAGTACGGTCGGGGATGATAGGGGTGGCGATAGCTATGGGACGGACAAGAATGGCAACCAGTACGGGATTGTGGTGTACAAGACGGCTCAGAGTTTGCCCGGGGTTTGCTGTACCACTTTCGGACCGTACAACAGCGCTCACAAGATGCTGGGTGCGCTGGAGAAGTTGGAACTGAGTGGTGGTAAGAGTGAATCAAATGCCAACCTGGCGGAGGGTCTGGCCACGGCGTTGGTATGCTTTGATGATTTCGACGAACTGCGGGAGAATGGAATGAAGGTGCACAAGTACTGCATTCTGATTGCGGCTAGTTCGCCGTACTCGATGTACGTGACGGAGTGCTATGCTTACGAGAATAAGAACGTCGAGCAGCTGGTGGGGTTGTTCCTGGAGAAGAATATCAATTTATCGATCATTTCACCAAGGAAGATTCCGGTGCTATTTAAGTTGTTTGAGAAGTCGGGAGGGGATTTGAGTTCGTGCAGTACGAAGAACTACTGCAAAGATCCGCGGCATTTGGTGCTGCTGAAGGGGTTTAGTTTGAAGGAACGTCCGGTGAGTCCTCCGGCGAACCAGATCAGTCACAATCAGGCGGGAAGTATGCCGAGCCCGAATCCGAATCAGCAGCAACCGGTTGGCCAGCAGAACGTGATGGATAATGTGAATATGAATGCAATGGGGAACAATCCGGCTATGCGTGGTCCAATGGTAAATCAGCAGGTTGGAATGCAGCAGCAGCAGCAGTTACAGCAACAACAGCAACAGCAGCAGCAGCAACAACAGCAACAGCAGCAGCAGCCGTGTAGGATGAACTTCCCGCAGGGCCACATGAACAACCAAATGTTTCCCAATCAGATGGCAACCCAGCAACAACAGGGTGTTGGTGGGTTGACCTACCAGCAACAATTGCAACAACAACAACAACAGCAACAACAGCAGCAGCAGCAGCAACAGCAGATGCGATGGATGGCTCCACCTCAGGCTCAGGCTCAGGCTCGCAATTTCATGCAACCTGGCGCTGGAATGAACGGAAACCAGGGTCGACCACAGCAACAGCAACAACAACAACAACAACCAAATCAAATGATCGGAAACAATCCTCAGACAAATTCGGTGCTAATCTCACAGCTTACGACTCCACCGCATACGATGAGCGCCCAGCAGATGAACCAGGCCAACAATCCTCAAATGCGCATGCCGTTCGTCAACAATTGTCTCCAACCGCAGCAGCAACAACCTGGCCAGCCGATGCCTCAGCAAAGCATGCTACAGCAGCAAATGATGGCCCAACAGCAGCAGAATATGCAAAACATGCAAAACCAGATGGGAGTTCCCGGGAATCAAATGGGTGGACCAATGGGAGGTCAAATGATGGGAGCCAATCAGCAGCAACAGTTGCAACAACAACAACAACAACAACAACAACAACAGCAGCAGCAGCAGCAACAACAACAACAGCAAGGTGGAATGCCGAATCAACAACAGATGAGTATGACACAGCAACAACAACAACAACAACAACAACAACAACAACAGCAGCAGCAGCAGCAACAACAACAACAAATGGGTCAGCCAGGGCAGCAGCAAATGGGTCAGCAACAGCAGACCACCAATCAGCTGCCTCGGGAGCGTATCTGGTCCGGAATATTGGAATGGATCGAGAAGCCGAACAAGAACGACTCGACCAAAGTGACCCGACAGGTGCCCTGCTCGGTGACGGCCAACATTCGCGACGGGGAACCGGAAATGTATGACTGACTCAATTAGGGTGGCAACTTTCTTCTTGTACTAAATCATGTATTTAATTTACAGCAAAGCGGATAACTGGCCTCCTCGGTTGATCATGCAGTTGATGCCGAAAGCTCTGGTCGGAAGCGCCGGAGGGCAGTACATAAAGGAATCGAAAACCGTGGTCTTTATACCGCAACCGTGCGAAGCGCTAGATGCCCTTTCCAAAGTGATGGGCTCTGGATTCGTAAGATCACCCTCGCAATGAGATTTATTATAATTTCCCTCTGATTTAGCGAATTTCTTATTCCAGGCTGGTTGTGTCCACTTCACCACATCGCCCATCTGCGACATTAAGGTACTTATCCTTCTGTACACCGCCGAGAAGAAGGCATACCTGGGATTCATCCCGAACAATCAGCTTGCCTTCGTTGACCGGCTGAAGAAGGTGATCATGCAGAACAAGAACATGCAAGCCGCCAATCAACAAACCGGTCAAAGTTCCAGCATGGGCATGCAAGGACCTCAGGGTGGAATGACCGCTCAGCAACAGCAACAGCAAGTTCAACAACAGCAACAACAACAACAAGTTCAGCAACAGCAACAGCAGCAAGCTAATCAACAAATGATGGGAGGTCCAATGGGACCCGGTCCCGGTCAAATGGTACCCGTCCCCGGGCAGATGGTTCCGAGTGGAATGCAGCAGGGGCCCCGCATGGGCGGAATGGTCAATGTAAGTTCCCCTGTGTTTGACTACGTTCAATCTTCAATCCTCCATCGCTTCCTCTATTCACACAGATGCAACAGGATCAATTCAACTACGCCAACATGGGCAACCAGCAGATGCAGGACCCGAGTATGCAGATGACCCAGGAACAACAGTATAAAATGTTGCTTCAGCAACAACAACAGCAACAACAACAACAGCAGCAGCAGCAACAGCAACAGCAACAGCAACAACAACAACAACAACAGCAGCAGCAACAGCAACAGCAGAGAGGCATGGGAGGACCCATGGGAAATATGGGCGTAAGATTTAATTGCTTTCCAAGCCCACCATCAGATGAAATTTTCCAAATGTGTCCGTTTTTCTTCCAGATGAACGTCGCAATGCAGAACCAGCGGATGATGCGACCGGTGCTTTCGAACAATCCGGGATTGCGCCATCTGCTGCAACAGCAGCCGAATCCTCAGTTCCGACAGCAGATGGCCATGGGGAATCCCGGTGGCCTGGGGCAGATGGGTGGACAGCGACCAAACTTGCAACCGAACCCGAACCAGGCACCTTTCGATGATGCAAACTTTGATTTTATGTAATCTTCATGTACGACGATTGGTAAGTAGTTTCACTTCTCACAACCGCCGAATCATGGACGTTCCTATTCGCGGGGATTCGAAATTAGAGTGTGTGGATGCCTCTTAAATATATCCTATATGACTATACGACATTTATTCATGGAACAGTGCTTGTGTGTGATACGAGCAAAAAAGAACTCCCTGATTGTCAATATTGTTTAAAATGGATGGTATATTTGACTTATTATTATGTAATTTTATTTATGTTGTGACAATATTAACCCTTTCCTTCCCATATGGCAGCACAGGTGATCCACAACTCCGTGAAATCATAATTGTCGTCAAAATCAGGGAATTCCATTTACGACCTGGAAACTAAGGGAAAATCAGAAAAATTTCTTTAAATTAAGGTTTCAAGGTTTCGTACTTAGGAAAATTCCCTGGGCATTGGCATAACCTTGAGGATTGCTTAACTGCAACCAGGTGCCAAATTTAAATATATTTTTAGTTTAGAATTATGAATTGTTTTTCTAAATAATTGATTCTGATGGGTGCAAAAATTAAAAAAACATGGAATGCGAAATCACCCAGGCTTGAATTGGCTTGATCGAGTGGCGATTTTCTTTTCTTTAGATCAAGACGATGAAGTTTTGAAAAAACAACGATATTAACTATCTGCACGCTGGATCAACATACAGCCATGCTAGAGGGATAGAACATCATTTTATTTTCATAAAAACAGAACCATCCTGTTTTATTCAACCTCAAACACGGGTTCCACGTTTTATAATTATTTATTTAGGCGAACATTTAGAACGTTTACAGATAGCGAGCTGCGCTCTTTTTCTACTCTACCTCGAATCCCTGTGTCTGTGTGTTGGTGTCGGCAACGTCAGTGGGAATGATGATACGGGGGGTCGCCACATATTGCAACATCTTCCCTACAACGAAAATTAAAGCTCCAACTGATAATCCTTCAAACGTTCCGGCAAGCGTGTCTTCCTTCTTGGCCGCTCCACTTGGTTCGGCATTCCATTTGCTTGCAAGGCACGTGGTGATGAACTTGACAACGTATTTTGCGATTCTGTCATAGTAGGCGGTGTGGCTGCTGCGATACTTTGACTATTTTGACAAGTAGAATCATTAATCGTTTGTTGGTCTGCGTTCCGATTTTCTCCTGCCGTTGATTCCACGGGACTGGATGGCGATGAGCGATGTGGCTGCATGGTAAGTTCTTTACGCGGCTTTAAATGCACAAGACTTCGCCGATACTGATTACCATCTACGTCTACCAGGTACGAGCGTTCATTCAAACGGTTGGAAACAGTACCTGGAGTCCACAATTTTGACGATGCTGGATCCAGTTGAACATACACCGGAGAACCGATGTCCAGTACAGGCAAATTACGAACCTTCTTATCGTAATGAAGCTTTGTGCGTTTACGTTGTTCTTCAATTGATGATGGAACGTCCTCTACAATCTTTGGAAGCAGATGACTGATGCCAGCTGGTATGCCGCAACGAGTTGAACGAGAGAACAAACGTGCCACAGGACTTGAGCCGATCTTATTTGGAATATAGCGAGAGCATACCAGAACTCCGACTTACTCTCCTCTGCTTTCTTCAGCAATCGTTTTGCTATTTTAACTGCGGCTTCCGACTTGCCATTTGCTTGTTGATGATGAGGTGCCGAAGTTACTTGTTCGAAGCACCATTCCGTGGCAAACTGAATCATCTTCCGATTGACATTGTCCGACAGTAACAATTGTGGTATTCCGTGACGGGCAAAGTTTTCTTTGCAAACTGCGATCACGGTTTCAGGAGTCAAATCTTTTAACAGGTTTACTTCGAAGAAATCCGAGTAGTGGTCCACAGTAACCAGGAACTTCCGCTTCAACCCCTTGTACTCGGCAAAGAACACGTCCAACGAAACCATCTGGAAAGGATGTACTGGGATTTGATGGCTTTTCATTGGAGGATTTGACTGCGATGCTGCAAACTTGGCACATACCGAACATTGGGTGACAGTGTCCTTAATCTGGGAACTCATACCCGGCCAGAATAACTATCTACAAGTTTTCGTCTCAACGAGTGCGGGACAACTATACGATCATTACGAAACAGTAGGCCGTCTTGAGAAGTTAGTTCGTGACGGTAGTTGAAATAAATTTTTGCACAATCAGGTACACGATCGACCGATTTCGGCCAACCTTGTCGAATGTAGCCTGCAACGAGCTTCAACGATTGGTCCTCCTCTGTATGCTGTACTATTTCTGTAAGCTTCGCATCTGAAACATCAAGAAAGCTACTGTCCAGTCCGCATCGTGCTCTCTTGCCGTGCGGATCTATTTGCTTTTTGCTTAAGGAAGTGTTACTACTACCTAAAGCTACAACAAATTTAAACAGCACTTTTCAGTGCTCAACCTGTAAAAATTTTCTACCTTGTTCAACTCTTATTTCTCTTCGATCCTTGTTCGGACCCTACCCGAGGTAATCCTTCTTGGATATCGATTTGGAAAATTCCTCTTCGATCCTTCAGATTCTTATAGTAATCTGCTTGGAAGTCGATTTGGATAAAAAATTACTGCCGCCATGGCGCCTAAACGCAAAAGAAAGGGGCAAACTCTTGACCCCCCTTCTGAAGAAATTAATTTGAGTAATCAATTTGATTTGCTCACGGATGATGAGAATGATCCATCATCCAAGAAAAATTCTAGTAAACTTTCCCGGCTTAATGCCAAGAAGGAAAAGATTCCCCCTATTGTGATAACCACTACCGATTTCCATGCTCTTCGCATGGAACTTTTGAATTTCGTGAAAGTTAAGTTTTCACTACAAATTGGACGTCGGGGTGAATGCCGTGTATTGGCTGAAACCTTGGACGGATTTAAATGTCTTCTCAAGTATCTTACTGAGAAGAAGCACAAATTTTTTACTTACGACACCAAAACTGAACGTGTGTTCAAGGTTGTCATGAAAGGACTGCCCAGTGGTGAATCCCTGGATCAGATCAAAGATGAACTGGCAAAATTACTTGGAGTTGTGCCACTCCAAGTAATCAAAATGAAAATGAAATCCCGTCCTGGCGATTCGCGCAACGGGATTTCTAATGATTTTTATTTAGTTCACTTCAAGTCTAGTGAACTAAACAACCTTAAGGCCTTAGAAAAAGCTAGCCTTATGCTCCATGTCCGAGTGAAGTGGGAACACTTCAGGAAGACTGGAGGAAATTTCCAAAACCTCACCCAGTGCCGTAAGTGCCAGGGATGGGGTCACGGAACTAAAAATTGCTACATGCCAGCTAAATGCATGAATTGTGGTGATTCCTCTCACGCAAAGGACGACTGTCCTGTGAAGGAAGATCCTAAGAAATTTAAATGTTCAAATTGTGGTGAAAACCACAAATCCAATTTTTGGGAATGTAAGACTCGCAAAGCGATCCTACAATCTCGTTCTAACCGACAGGTAGGAAACGCTCCACGTTTCCGACCAGGTACAAATTCCTCTGCTGTTAACAACGGTCAGCGAGGAACAAATTCTACATTCGTACCCGTAGGTACAAATATCACCCCTGCTTCAAATGTTTCATCTGTACCTACTCCCCTCGCTGCTAACAATGTTCAGCGAGTTAATGGAGCTACCTATGCTGCTATTGCAGCGGGTAGAAATCAAAATACTAACCAACGTTCTAACGGAAATTTTGACAATTTTGACTTAGGAAGCATTACTGCCCCTAAAATGGAATTTTTACAGAATTCATTAATTGACATGATTTCTGATATGCTTAAATCTAACTCCATGTTCGATGCTATTCAAACTGGAGTAAAATTTGCTAATAATATTGTCATGACTTTAAAATTCAGTAATGGATTTTAAAGCATTAAACATTTTAAATTGGAATGCTCGATCTCATATTGCCGTTATAACTGAAACGTTCCTTAAACCTGACCATAAGGTTAAGAAGGACGCAAATTACTTGATTTATAGAAATGATCGTCTTGATGGACCCTGTGGTGGCGTTGCCATCATTATTCATAGACGAATCAAGCATAAAATTCTTTCTTCATTTGAAACTTTGGGAGTTTCTGTTGAAACAAAATTTGGACAACTTTCGTTTATAGCTGCCTATTTGCCATTCCAATGCGTAGGCCAGCAAAAGAATTTTCTCAAGGGTGACCTCCAGAAACTTACCCGTCATAGGTCTAAATTCTTCATTATTGGTGATTTTAATGCAAAACACCGCTCATGGAATAATGCTCAAAGCAATTCCAATGGTAATATTCTGTTTGATGATTGTTCTGCAGGTTATTACACTATTCAATATCCAAACAGCCCAACATGCTTTTCTTCTGCAAGAAATCCCTCAACTATTGATTTGGTCTTAACTGATTCATGTCATCTTTGTAGCCAATTGGTTACCCATGCTGACTTCGGTTCTGATCACCTTCCAGTAACTTTTGAAATATCCCAAGAAATAATTTCTAATCCCAACAGCTTTACTTTCAATTACCATAGGGCTGATTGGGAGCAATATCGAACATTTATGGAATATAACTTCGATCCAAACATTCCTTTGCAAACCAAAGATGAAATTAATTATGCTCTTGAATCTCTGACTACTTCTATAGTTGAAGCAAGAGCTGCCTCAGTACCAAAATGCGAGGTTAAATTCGATTCAATTATAATAGACGATGATCTTCAGCTCTTGATCCGTCTTAAAAATGTCCGTAGGAGACAATTTCAAAGAACACGCGATCCTGCCATGAAAGTTATCTGGCGGGATTTGCAAAAACAAATTAAAAAGCGATTCTCTGCCCTGAGGAACAAAACTTTTGAAAATAATGTTTCTAAATTAGACCCGAGTTAAAAACCCTTTTGGAAACTCACAAAAATTTTGAAAAAACCTCAAAAGCCAATTCCAGCGCTTAAAGAAGGTGGTAAAATTTTGATCACAAATTTGGAAAAAGCTCAGAAACTTGCTAAGCAATTCGAGAGTTCCCATAATTTCAGTTTGGGTCTTACTAGTCCTATTGAGAATCAGGTTGCTCGGGATTTTCGGAATATTTTCTCTCGGGAAAATATTTTTGATGATTCCTGGGGGACTGATTTGG